GGGATAGCAACCTTGAGGGGAAACCAAGAGGCGGCCAAGCATTGTTATATGACCTCCGTTGTGAGGTCTCGAAACAACAAAGAAATAGCCCCATTACCGGAGCCACCCCACCCAGAGGCCCCAAATACCAAACGGATAATGGGTGTAGAGCTGCCAGATAACCGACCAGAGGACGACCCAAGGGCCACCCCGGTCGAGGAGGTCGAAGAGGTGCAACTCGATGATAATGACCCTTCCAAGAGGACTCAGATCGGCACGAGGCTGACTCCTGTAGAAAAAGAAGAGCTCGTGGGCTTCCTAAAAGCGAACAAGGACGTGTTTGCATGGACCTCGGCTGACATGCTTGGAATCCCAACTTCGGTGGCAGTGCACAAACTCAGCACCAACCCTTTGAGGAAACCAATAACACAGAAAAGACGACTATTTGGGGGGGAAAGACTCACGGCTATCAAGGAGGAGGTGCAAAAGCTCTTACAAGCAGGATTTATCAGGAGAGTAGACTACTGCAAGTGGATCGCCAACCCTGTCATGGTAAAAAAGTCAAATGGCAAGTGGCGCATGTGCATAGATTATACCAACCTCAACGACGCCTGCCCCAAAGATTGTCATCCCATGCCAAGCATAGACAAGCTGGTGGAGGCCGCCTCAGGAAATGAAAGGTTAAGCCTCCTTGATGCCTACTCGGGGTATCATCAAGTCCGTATGGCACCCGAGGATGAGGTGAAAACCTCATTTTACGCTGGAGATGAGATCTACTGTTATGTGATGATGCTGTTTGGGCTCAAAAATGCAGGAGCAACATACCAGAAAATGGTCACAATTGTGTTCCGAGCTCAAATCAGTAGAAACCTCGAGGTCTATGTAGATGACATTGTTGTCAAGAGTTCTCGAGCAGAAGACCACTTGACTGATCTGGCTGGGACGTTCAACAACCTCAGAAGATGCAGCATGAAGTTGAATCCAGCAAAGTGCACTTTCAGTGTTGAATCGGGCAAGTTTCTGGGTTTCATGGTTTCCAGAAGGGGGATAGAGGTCAACCCTAAGAAGATAAAAGCAATAGAAGAGATGAAACCACCGAGATCAACCAAGGACGTGCAACGCCTAGCAGGGAGAATAGCAGCACTGCACAGATTTATCTCCAAATCAGCAGATAAGTGTTTGCCTTTCTTCAAGGTCCTGAGAACTACAGCTCAAAAGGATGAAGCGGGAAAACCTCGGAAGTTCAACTGGACGACGGAATGTCAAGTGGCTTTTGACGAGCTCAAAGCCTACCTCAGCTCGCCGCCTCTGCTGACTAAGGCCCAGGAAGGTGAAATCCTTTATCTCTGCCTCGAAATATCTGATACTGCTGTCAGTTCTGTCTTGATCAGGGAAATGGGGAAACAACAGCAACCAGTATACTATGCCAGTAAGGTGCTGCAGGGAGTTGAGCAGAGATACTTAATAGTGGAGAAGGCAGCCCTAATAGTTGTTGTTACCGCAAGAAAATTGAGGCCATATTTCCAATCTCACCTTATCATCATGATGACTGATCAGCCTCTAAGGCAAATTCTACAGAAACCAGAATGCTCCAGGAGACTCATCAAATGAGCAGTAGAGCTGGGGGAATTTCAAATAGCATTCCAGCAAAGGTCGGCAATCCGAGCTCAAGCCTTGGCAGATTTCGTGGTCGAATGCACTTCTAATCAGATGGAGCCGAGCTCTGAGGCAGAAACATGGATCCTATATGTCGACGGATCATCTAATAGCAAGGGTTCAGGAGCTGGAGCAGTATCAACTGGACTTAACAGCTTCCGGAGTGAACACGCTTTGAAGTTCAACTTCGAGGCCACAAACAACGTGGCCGAGTACGAAGCCCTCCTCCTGGGACTGCGTTTAGCAGCCGAACTAAAAGTCAAACGCCTGCAGATTTACAATGACTCACAGTTGCTAATTAACCAAATCAATTCTATGTGTGAAGTCATTGATCCCATCTTGGCGAGGTATGTGGCCGTAGTCTCCGAGCTGAAAAACCGGTTCGAAAAATTCCAGCTTACAAAGATTCCGAGAGCAGAAAATGAGCATGCAGATTCTTTGTCAAAGTTAGCATCTGAGAACTCCAGGGAAGCAAAGTCCGTGTACATCGAGATATTGAATGAACCGAGCTTTCAGACGTCCGGGGTGATGGAGATCAGCACTGACCCAGATGCTCCGAGTTGGACAGACCCCATCCGGGAGTACCTCCTCAACGGTACCGTCCCAAGGGACAAATAGGAAGAGATGAATGTTGCGAAGAAAAGCCTCTCGGTACACCCTGGTTGGCGACATTCTGTACAAGAGGTCCTACTCGTTACCACTCCTCAGATGCCTGACACCATACGAAGCAGAGTATGCAATAAGAGAAGTACACGAGGGGGTATGCGGTAGTCACGTGGGAGCCCGGACTCTGGCACATAAGGTACTTCGGCAAGGGTACTATTGGCCTAACATGCAAGAAGACGCAAAGAAGTTTGTGCAGAGGTGCCAGAAATGCCAGTTCTTCGCTCATCTCACCCATCAGCCAGCTGAAGAACTCACTAGCATGACTGCACCATGGCCCTTTGCTTAATGGGGAGTAGACCTTCTGGGCCCCTTTGTCAAAGCAGTAGGAGGAGCAACGCATTTAGTGGTCGCTGTTGATTACTTCACCAAATGGGTAGAAGCCAGACCTCTCTCTTGCCTGACTTCGAGAAGAATTGAGGATTTCCTTTTTAGCTCGGTCATCTGCAGATATGGGATACCAAACCAGATCATCACTGACAACGGCCCCTAGTTCAATTGTAACTCCTTCAGGGACTTCTGCTCCAGCTACGGGATTAAGTTGGTATTCACCTCTGTCTATCATCCCGAAGCCAATGGAATGGTTGAATCAGTCAACGAAGCCATCTTGGAAGGAATCAAGCCGAGGTTAGATCAGCTGAAAACAAAGTGGGTAGATGAACTCAACAACGTCCTATGGCTTATCGGACAACAAGCCGAACCGCCACAGGTATGTCCCTCACTTTGATTCTCTCTTCTATTACCTTATTCACAGTTATAGACTACCCTTTAAAGTAAATCCTAAAATTAATCTCCTGCAAATAGGCGAAACGCCCTACCACTTAGCCTTCGGCACCGAGGCAGTCATTCCTGTCGAAATTGGTGTCCCAAGCCTAAGAATCAGTCACTTTGAACCAGTTCAAAATGAGCATCTACTAAGGGAAAACCTCGATCTCCTGGACGAAGTCCGAGAGCAATCCCGACTTCGGACTCTAGCATACAAACAAAGAATAGCCAACCTTTACAATAAACGGGTCCGACCTCGAAACTTCAGAGTCAGTGACCTCGTCCTCATAAAGGCTGGGCTCACAGGGTTCGAAACCCGTTATGGCAAGCTAGCACCAAACTGGGAAGGCCCCTACGTTGTAACCGAGATCCCACAACCCGGTGCGTATATCCTCCAAGATGCCGAGGGCAAGAGGGTGCCTAGAGTTTGGAATGTTAATAATCTTAAAAACTTCTACCCTTGAGTTTCTTTCTTTATTCTGTGTTGGGTGTCTTTTTGTAACTAATATAGTGAGGACGAGGTCAATTTCAAACTTAGTCGCGTTCACAAATTATTTTAACTTCTCCATTTCAGACCCTTTCCAGAAGCGATAAACAAATAACAAATCAATTTCATTTCATTAAATCCTAATCGTTTACAAAGAATCTCAAAAAAAAAAAAAAAAAAAAACGAGGTCAAATTTAGCCAGCAGTTTGATCCGGGTTGGCCGCAGGCTGCTCAGGGTTCTCAGCAGGCTGACTTGGCTGGTCAGCACCTTCAGCTAACTTTTCAGCACCTTCGGTAACTTCGCCACCTTCGGTTCCCTCTTCCTTCACTGCCACGAATTCAAAGCTGAACTTAGGAGGTAAGACGGTTTGACCTCTGCTATCCCTCTCCCACTTCAGCGTTATCTCGGGGCGGAAGTCAGCAGTACTGCTCTCTCCGTCCTCCTCCACCTCCCCTTCCTGCTCTCCGAAGGTAATCTTCGTCACGTCCACAGCAGGATATTGCAGCTTTACCTTCTTCCAGCAGTTAGCGAAGGCCACGATGGCAGTGGGAAGACAGTAGAGATTGACGATGTCCTCGAAGGTGCCGGACCTCAGGAACCCCTCCACATGCTCTTCGACTGAGTTGTGAACTTTGAGCTCCAACTCAGCCACTGTCCTCCCTGCATCCCCCAGCTCCTTCTCCTTCTTCTCGAGCTTAGCCTCGCATATCTTCCTCTTCTGGTACGAGATCTCCGAGTCCTTTTTAAAGGTAGCATTTTCTTTCCGGAGTTCCTCCATCTCCGCTTTCAGTCTCGCCACCTTGTCCTCGGCCTCCTCATTCTTCTTGACGAGCTCGGCGTTATCCTTCCTCATCTGGTTCCTCTCTTTCAAACTCTCGTGATGCTCGTTGGCCAAGGCATTCACGAGATTAACAGCCTGCACAGTGAAACCACCCCAACTTGTCCAACACTTAACAAAGTCAAAATCCTTACGCTCCAAGTGAGATGAAAGGACCATACCTCCAGTGTTTGACGGACAACGCCAACTGAACCCCTGGCAGCCACCTCGTCCTTCGGCACGCTGGCGATCCACCTCCGGGAAGTAAGTATTGATGAACCTCTTTGCTGTACTCCTCATCCCGAAGTCATAAAAACTGGTTGTCTACGCTCGGATGTACCCTTGCTCCCGGAGCGCAGCAGCGAACTCAGCAGCCGAGGCTGATGAGGTCCTTTCCAGACGGAGGGTTGAGGTCACAGGCTCTCGTACCTCCTCTATCTCCTCCATGGCCTCTAGCCTCTCCAACCTCTTCCTCTTTCCTACAATGGGCCCCTCCTCAACAACCGTCACTTCACCCCCAACGCGGCTAGGCTGAGAAATGGCCAAGTTTCCCACTTCGGCTTGAGGCATCGAAATCTCCTCCCCCCGCCTCTTGACCTCACCTCTCTTCCCTCTTCCCTTCTTTGGAATTCCAGCTCCACCGGTTGCGTCCAAAAACTTGTTCATTTCTTCTGCAAAACAAAACAAGGTTAAACTTTGATCAGGATTCTCGAACTAAATCAACAATTAAGGTTACACACCTCCTCTTTCTGAGCTCGGCCCATATATCTCAGCCGCGTCTAACATCCTCTGGCTCGTATATTCCATAACGTCCAGCAAACCCACCCCCCCTTTCCAACTCCTCCACATCCTCTATCTCCCCCGGGGTCAGACTATACTCGTTGAGGTTTAACCCTTTCGCCTTCCAACGACTTAAGTGCTCTACCTCAGCATCAGTCTTATCCCACTCCGTGTCATCCGCAAAAAAGAACTTATCTTTCCACCCCTTAATGGAAGACGGCCCAGCGCTAAACAAACCCCTCTTCTGCTTATTCGTTACCCGGCCCGTAAAATAATACCACCCCTTCTCCCTACCACTACCGGCGTTCAAGACATAAAAGTACTTGAATACGTTAGCAGTAGGAAAACTCACCCCCCGACTTCGGCTATATACTGCAAACGCCACCACTAACCTCACGGCATTGGGGGTGAGTTGCGTTAGCCCCAGACCATACTCCAACAACAACCACACCAATAGGTCTGGGAGAGGAAACCGCAACCCAGTCGCCAGGTAATGGGAGTAGAGAGGCATCCAGTGGTCCCTCAGGGCCGAACACGCTCTCTCTCTACTCCCCGCCGGCCTCACCAACACACGCCCGGGGACCTCATAGTTCTCAACCAAGTGGGCCAAACTACCCCTATTCTCCAAAGTTGTTTCATACCCTGCCACCTCACTAACAACTTCCTCCTCAGGGTTGAAACATGGCTCTCTCCCATCCTCTCTCTCCAGAATGTTCGACGGCACCCCCAAATCCCTACTCTCTACCTCCTCAACCCTCCCCCTCACTCTGCCGTCACTAAGTGTCTCTTCAGAAGACATTCTCACAACAAAGAAAGGTAGAAAAAAGACACTCAAATCCTCACAAATTACCTGGTTTCTACTGAAAATGGACGAACAATCTTGAGTGCAGGCAAGCCGGTGACTTTTCCAGACGTTAACAGCAAAATGAGTTGGATTTTTCTAACTCCGCGTATATATATGACGGTAAAACGTACTTTGACGGCCACAATTAACTTCCTTAAACCGTCATGACTGTGCCCTTTCAAATTCGCCGTTTAGTTTAACGCCGCGTCTCTTCGAATGTGACGGTTACTTTTCGCAGACGATATTTATTACTACACGTTTTTCCATGACAGTTGTCGTCTGCTGCATTAACCAGCTTTAGTATTCCATAAATAAGCCCATTTTAGGCCCATTATAAACCCCTCAACATATACTTTACACGAAAACTGTCAAGTCACAATTTCATCTCGGCTACGCCCACAGTGACTACGTGTCACCTATTTTATCTCGGCTACGACCACAGTGACTTCGTGTCACCTATTTTATCTCGACTACGGCCACAGTGACTACATGTCACCTATTTTATCTCGGCTACGGCCACAGTGACTTCGTGTCACCTATTTTATCTCGGCTACGGCCAGTGACTACATGTCACCAATATTTATCTCGGCTACGACCACAGTGACTACGTGTCACCTATTTCATCTCGGCTACGGCCACAGTGACTTCATGTCACCTATTTTATCTCGGCTACGGTCACAGTGACTACGTGTCACCTATTTTATCTCGGCTATGACCAGTGACCACGTGTCACCTATTTTATCTCGGCTACGGCCATAGTGACTTCGTGTCACCTATTTTATCTCGGCTACGGCCAGTGACTATGTGTCACCAATATTTATCTCGACTACGACCACAGTGACTACGTGTCACCTAGTTTATCTCGGCTACGGCCGTAGTGACCGTGTCACCCATTTAACCTCGGCTCCGGCCGCAGTGACTCCGTGTCACCCAGTTAATCTCGGCCCCGGCCACAGTGACTACGCGTCACCTATTTCACCTCGCCCTCAGCCACAGTGACCGCGTCACCAACTTTACCTTGGTCCCGATCACTTCGACCTCCGTTGTATGGCATCTAGGCCACCAATGCTATCCTACTTTATCAACCACACCACCACTCAACCCCACTCTTATTAGCCACCCTTCCCATCCTCCCTCCTATCATTCACAAGTGAATGACTTCGAGGGGGGGGGGGGGAATAGTGTAAGGGCAGCCATATGAGCCAAGGCAAGGTGCAGAGCTCAGAGCTAACCGCACCTCGGCTGCAGAGCTCAGAGTTTATCGCACCTCGGCACTTCGCCGTGGGTGCATGACAGCCACAATAGGCACGCCCTCATCTGATCATTTGTCCGTATCAGAACACCCCTTCTCAAGGAACCTGCTCCGCCAGAACGCACCACGCGCATTTAATGCGGTTGCTCCGTTAAGGCACGTTACACTCACCTAAAACGTCTACTCCGTCAGGCGCACCATGTCACCATTATTGGATTGACTAGGCCACGTGGGTGTGGACAAGCCACGTGGGTGCCTTGCCAAGCGGGACAAAGCCCACAAGGTAAGACTCGATAAATAGGCGGAATAAAAGGAGGAAGGATGATCAGAAAAATACTAACTTAAGCATCGGAGTTTCTCCCCGAGGACCAACCTCGGGATTTTGCAAGACCATTTGGAGAAGGATCAACTCGAAGTAGGAATTCAAGGATATTCAACAACTACAGATAGATTTGAGTAGAAAAAAGAAATTTACTTTGAGTCCATCAACAAAGAGAAGGCCACTGAGAATGCATTCCTTTAGAGCTGTCCCAAGAACTATCACACAATGTTTTAAAAATCGGACCGGATCGGTCGGTTGAACCGGTCAGACCGATACTCGGTACAATAAATGGCTCGAATTAAGGTTTAGAACCGATATAGTGATTGAACCGTTCAAAACCAGTAAAACCATTCAAACCGGTACAAACCGTTAAGCCATTCAACCGAATGGTTTAAATCTTTTGGAAAATTTCCCATAAAGTTATCACCTGCAGGCTTCGAACACAAGATTTATAGGGCATTTTCGATCAGCTTTGCCACTGGGACACGACCTTTTCAATTGAAAAGAGCGGCTTAAAATTTTATTTATTTTATGTTTAGGAAGAAAAGAATCACAACATATTCAAATTTTCTTCTCTTCTATCATTAACTTTCACATTAAAATTAATATAATGTTAATCTAATTTTTATCTTAAATATATAAATTAAAAGTGTAATAAATATAATTTTTTATAATTAATTTATATAAA